ACAAGGTTAGGTTAAATATATTTTATATATTATTGAATGTAATGTAAACAATGACGTAATTGGATTGAACTCTTCGTAGAGTAGCCCCAGAATAAATAATACGTGCACATTAACATCAATTTAGAATATTAAAACAAATATTTTTGGTTTCAGTGCATTTTAATGTAATATGGTCTATGGCCAATTCAGCCGCCACCGATTCCAACTGCGATCTTGGTAATGCAAAAAAAATATTTCAGAAAACAGCTTAAAAATTCAAATTCAAAAAAAGCACCTATTCAGACTTCAGTCTGATCAAAGCTGTCATTAAATTTTGAAGTATGGAACATTTTTAAATTTTTTTAAATTTTTTTATGTTGATTGACATTTGGAACAATGTCACGAGTGTGGATATTTTGCAGTAGTGTCATTAAACTTGAGCAAAATTTTAGTACTTCAAAATAACATCATATACATTTTTGCTAACATGCAGTTTCATTAAACATTTTAGACTGTTATGTTAGGTACAAACAGTCATTAGCTCAGACACAATTGGCGGCCAAACTCATGGCTAATAAAATAATACTTAATAGAAATACAATCAATTGGGCAGCTGAACTGATCACACACACATTATAATGACATAGCCTATTTATTACTCAACCAATAGATTATGTTTCAATAAACAAAAAACAATATTTTCCTGACCAACTCATTTACACTGAAACTAACTAATTAAGTCACGAAAATTGCTTGTAATATAGTGAAACAGGCTCATAGCGACGATGCTAGGCCTAGCCAGTCAGGTTGTCGCACAGCATGTTCACAGTTCAATACATATTGTAGTAGAGTAGTAATACTACTAGCTAGGCCTAATATTAATAGTAGTAGTGGGGCCTAGCTAGGCTAGGCTAGTTTTAGTGGTACGGACTTTACCTAATTTTAAGTAGGTAAAGCTACCTTCTTACGTGAATGTACTGTACAATACTACTATAAATATACTATAATAAAAGGTAATTGTAGGCATACACAAACTTTAGCGATTACTGCAAAGAATAGGCCCTAGGCTACACCTAGGCTTAGCCTAGTTTTAGGCCATAGTTAATACGAACGACCCAGACTAGGCCTAGCAAAGACTAGGCTTAGACGGTGACCGGCTAGACTAGCAATCGATCAGCCCAGCTAGCCTCCTTAGTCTATGGCTAGACTATCTGACAAAGCAAACCATTTTTAGATATAGGCCTAAGAAAATTGTAAATTACAAAGGCGTTAATTAGAAACAGTTTTTAACTTACGTTTAGCGAATGGCTGTAGTGGAAGACGAATTTCATTAGAGCCAACTTCTCTGTTCCATTCCGACGACCAGTCTGTGAATGAAACTTCGTATCGGCCACTGTCATATTGCGAAACAACTCTTGCATTTTCCCATCGTCCTAAACTGTCAATTGCTTGAATTCGGCTGCGAACACTTATAATTTCTTTCATATTGTTATGCGTTTTAATTAGCAAGTCATAACAAACCTGTACGCTACACGAAAAGAAATGAAAATGACGCTTTCTGTAGCTTTTTACAGCAATAAACAAACATGTGCGTCTGTTGCTTGTTTGTGTGTGGCTGATTAATTAACAGTATCTCTACGCTACAACAAAGTAGTATCGCACACATTCCGATTAATTTTATTAATATCGTAAGTTCTGTATTACAGAACTTACGTAGTTGTATCAATACGCCTTTTTGCAAGAGAGAAGGCCAACTTTAGTGTACAACTGGTGAGGTGGCTGTTTTCAAAACAAATAATAGTCTGTTTTATAACTTCACGTAGAATTCATCGATTTTCATGATTCGAACTTGCTTGTGTCATAATTTTCATTTATAATCACAGTTCTCAATACTTAATGATGCTTATTTTTTCCATTAATAACATTTTTGAAAACTTAGAGATGTTCACTGTTAGTTTATCTAAACATATCAATGATGATTTATTGACACATCGTGAAACCCTGCTGTGACAACGATCTCAAAAAGCGGCGTAGGCTTGTGATGTGTAATGAGATTACTTTGATAAGACTTTGGCAAAACCTGGTTGGAAGACCCGTCTGAAGCAACTCCAGACGGGTTTGCTGGTAAATGGGATAGTAACGGCATGATATATATATAAAATATAGAAAGAGAGCAATAAAAAACAGCTATGAGTTGTAAACATACTAGAAGCAATATAATTTATTAATTCACAAATATTTCAAACACTCCTGTGTTCTTCCTCAGTGTGAGGACAACTGACAAAAAATACAAAGTAAAGCAATATTCACACACGAAACAAAAACAGAACATCAAATCAGCGGTAAAGAACAAAGGTCTTTATTTAAACCGTTAATATAAGAATTGGTTCTAAGAATCCACTGCAGTTCTTCTTTGCGTCTATGTGAGAGGGATAAAAAGTTATTAGCGACCAAAATAAATCTTATGTCATTAATGCTATGGTTAGGTAGATTGAAGTGACAGACTACTGGGATACCAGTGGAGTTGTCTCTGATGGTTTTTTTTGTGATTATTAAATCGGAGGTGGAATTTAGTGCCAGTTTCTCCAATGTAATTACCAATTTGACATTTGTTACAAAATAAAATGTAAATAATGTTAGAAGAATCACAAGTAAGTGGAGGGGGTCTAATATTAATATTAGTACTAGGAATAGTGAATGTGTCAGAGGTATACAATGTGTCAGAGGTATATAATCTACATTTAACGTTACCAGAAGATTGGGAATCCTTATGGAGTTTAGAGGATGAGAGAATAGATTTCAAATTAGGGGGTTGTCTTTTGGCTAGTAGGGGAGGGTCTTCAAAAAGGTGGCAAATAGATTTATCTTTATTGAGAATTTTATAGTCAGTTTTAAGTTGGCGGGTAAGAGAACTTATATTTGGATGGTAGTCGAAGACGAGAGGAATGCGGTTATTAGTAATATCTTTGGGTTTATAATCTAGAAGGGATTGTCGGGGACGGGTTGAGGCTTAGAAATAGCTGATAGTATTAGTTTAAGGGGATTCTCCCCTTTCCTAATTTTTGCTGTAAGATCTTCATGCTTCAGAAAGACTGATGTCTTCTTTGCTTGGTTAGTAAATAGAAGCATGTCACTGTGTTGCAGAATCACTACCTCTAATCGTTTTCGGGAGTCTTTAATTAGATTTACGAACTGTAAAAATCATGAATGTTTGATTGAGCATTAAGTTTCTTTGTAATCGATCCATGGACTGAGTCTGCCGCCATGAAGGTACAGCCCGGTTCAAGGTACTGTTATTGTAACTAATTCTGTGCCTGTTGTTGGGTCATTTATTATTCTTAGCAAAGCACTATACAAGGTCCAATTTTTGTTTTGGCCACTGCAGTTGTCAACGTAGAAAATTATTTCTTTTACGTCTCATCTTTGCAGAAATGCCAAGTAAGTAGTTGTGATATTGTAAGCTTTCCGGCCAGCCTCTGCCTCATGTCACAATACAGCTGTAGCAGGTGCTTTATTGAAAAGAACAAGTTTCCTAAGGAAATAATAGTCCTTAATAGGAACTTTAGGCATGCATATGCCTTTCTGCATGTCCACTGTAGCTAAAAAAATATTTTCCCCGTCACACATTCTGGCACAATCATTTTGTAACTCGTATCGAGCAGCTGCTGCATGGGATTTGTGTTGTGGGAAAATTTCACAAACGGAACACATGCATTCTTCACAACTGTGGGATAATTCTGTGCTTGGATGTTCCATTTTGTGCTTTTCACACAGGGTACATAAGTCATTCTCAGGGGAACAAAATGAAATCTTTTGATCGTTGAAAATTTGTCGAAATGAGTGGTATGAACAAATTTGTCCATCATTTTCTTGTTGACGTTTCACAAATGATTTGTATAAATGGGATATTGAAAGATCCGAAGTCAGATACCGACGATTTGGTGCATGCTCTCGTTTGTAATGACTGACCATTGGCCGGTAACTTTCAATGTAGTTATTAGCCAATGATATTTATTAATTATTATTTAGTAATTATTAGCCAATAATAGGGTTTACACCTGAGACCTACACAATTTTATTCTAGGCCTAGCGTCTGTACAGGCTTGTCTATCAGCCCGGTAAATAATCTCCTATCTGGTTAAGCTAGCCTTAGGGCCTTGGCCTAATAAGTAGGGTAGGGCTAGGCCTAGGATTAGGTTCTAGGTATTTAGACCAAAAATTCTCAAGGCCTTCTGCCTACTGTAGAATTTAAATTTATCAAATTCATTGTATAAATTACCTTTTTTCTTTTTCAGAGCTTGTTTTAGCATCATATATCCTCTACTGTACCGATTCATTTTGGTTGTTCACGTCCCTGGAGATAGACTGTTTTGTGCTAAATATCGCCCTCTATTTTTATTTTTTGTTATGGCAAAATGACTTAACTTTGAGTTAGGTGCAATTTATCATTATATCTTGCCATGGCAAAACAATGTATCTTGAAGATACATTGTTTTGCCAAAAGCTATTGTTTTCAGCTATCTCTAATATAAGTTGTTTTGCCATAACAATCCATGCCATTATACCACTTCACTTGGAGTTAAGTTGTTTTGCCATAACAAATGGTTGATTAATACCAAAATAAAGTGAGTTAGGTGACTTGAAACTCTCAGAAATAAGAGAGCGCCCTCAACTTACTTAAATATGTAATAATCTCAAAAAGTGAAAAAATTGAGTTAAGTCGTTTTGCCTTATCAGGGCCGTGTCGCTACCTCCTCCAAACGCGCATTATCTATCACACTCTTAAGATTATTTATTAAAACTCTCACACAATGTGTCTTACCCTTTTCCGAAAAATTTAAGATGCCGTTTTTATTACAATTACAAATAATAAATTTCTTAAAGCGTAACTGGGCCATGACTGCGTTCTTAATCTCTCTATCACTCCTCCCATCCATCCACTCATCCATCTCAGTCACGCTCGTCCACAATCCTCCACTCATTCAACGCTGTCGTCAACTTCTCCTTTCTCACTCGCTCCTTCACATCCTTTGTCTCTCAACACGCTTCTCTGTCACCCGTTGTTCATGAGCATGTTCAGCCTTCCTCTCTAGAGCTCGAAGCCTTTGGTTACGTTTTGACTTCACACAAATCTCCATCACACGAGCATATCTCTCTGGACTCAAACTATCTATCCATTCCCCTACGTCATTCTTCACATGCAATCAAAGAAGCTCGTGGTTTTTTAAACATAACTCGATCAAGCATGCCAAAATCACGCTCCACTCCTACATTAGAAGTTGGCACACTTGAAGTTGAAACTACGTCTCTCTCAGGCATTTGATAATGTTCACCTCCTTCCAAAAAATCAGGCAATAATCTCTGTGTGACTTTTTGAAAAAGGCAAACATTATCTCCAATGCCTGAATGGTCCCAGCATCACACTCTTCACTCTCCTTCAGCAGCATCTCCAACACTTCATCATTTCTCACAGGCACATCCTCAAACAATCGCTCCTCACCTCTCAAAAATCCAGAAGCATCATTTGACCACCGTGTAAAGCAGTTAAGCATTCTCTCATATCTCGCACTCAATTCTCGCACATGCAGAGCACCTTCTGTCACCTTCCAAAGGGGTCCTGTTACATACTTGTCAATCAAACCAAGGGCGCGAGCTCCACAGACGAAAAGAGAAACTCCAACATCCGCATGAACAGCACCCAGAAGAAGGTTGTCATTCTTTACCCTCTCAAAGAAGATCCGCAGATCTTCAAGGAGGGCATATACCCCTGCTCCATTATGGAAAATAATATTAAACCTATTTCCCTTGAAAGGAGCGAGGGGAACCTTCTTCTTACCTCTTTCGCTTGCCAAGAACGCTCTAAACTGCACCGGCTTACCACTCTTCTCACACGCTCTCTCTTGCACACTCTTACATACAGTGCGGATCAGGCGCACAGCACCACTCTCACCACTCTTCACATTCAACGACACCAGTCTCTCTGCACCCCTCTTCTCATCACCCAGCACAAGTCTTTCCCACACACACAAACTCGCATCTGCCTGATCCGCAAGACCAACAAGAAAATGAAGGCCACAAAAATAATTATCTAATTTGACCACTTTGATTTGTTCTGTTTCAGATAAGTCCCCCCAACCCTCAATTACATCAGGCAAAATTTCTTCCCTATAATCTTCCAAAAGTCTGTTAAATTTTTTTTGTGTTGCGCATCTGTCACTCATGGTATTTTTCAAAGTGGCCACCAAATTTTGCACTCCTTCTCGCCCTCGACTATCAATACTTACAACCTCATCCACTATGTCCTTTAATGCATCCAAGGTTGATTCTGCTGTACCACTCGGTGTTCCTCTTAGCCCGAGCATTAAAGCACGGCCATCTTCTAGGTTTAGGTCGTAAGCCATATAGTGATGGCCCAGTTTAGAGGTACCATCACTACACAATGTGTTGGAAACCTCCTCTGGCCTACGATCTAAATCTACAACTTCATCTACAATATGTAGATGGGCCAATGCTCGAGCCTCAAGGAACATCTCGCTTGCCAAAGACTTCTGAGGCAAACGAGATGCCTCCATCCCCAAAAGTTTTTTTAAAACAGTTCGAACAATCTTATCTACATTATTTATACCAACACCCATTTTCAACAAGTCGATGTAAACATCCCTTATAGCATTGCTATACTTTCCCTTTGAAAATACATCGATTTGTTGATCCGTTGTTATTGCATGTATCCTCTCTTCCAGCTCTAGCCTCTGGTCTTCTCTTTCTTCTACCTGTTTTTTAAGCTTTTTATTTTGTATTTTTAGTTTATTTAATTGTATTGTCTTTTTGTTCTGTTCTTTTATTAACTTAGATTTAGTTTTTAATTTTTCTCTTAATTTTTGATTATTTTGTTTTAGCCTTTTTTCTTTATTCTTAATTGATTTAACTAAAGATTTTATTTCATTATCTTGCACTTTTAATACTCTCTCTTTTTCTTTCATCTCTGTCTCTTTCTTCCTCATTTCTGTCTCTTTCTTTTCAATCTTCTTCTCTTTCTCCCTTAACTCTCTCTCCCAAGCTGTCCTCTCTCTATCCTTCACCATCATCGCTTTCTCCCTCTCTATCAACTCTCTATTCTTCACCATCACAGCTTCCTCCCTCCATGTCATCTCTCTATCCTTCACCATCAAATCCCCCTCCCTCGCTGTCCTCTCTCTATCCTTCACCATCATCACTCTCTCCCTATCTCTCACCTCTCTATCCTTCACCATCATCGCTTCCTCCCTCCTCCTCATCTCACTTTCTATCTTCAAAACTTCCTTTTCTCTCTCTTCTATCACACCATCTCCCAACCCTTCTTCTCTCGTCGTCTCCTGTCTTGTATCTGTCCTTGTCAGTAATAATGATTTAATTTTAGATTTTAAGTCATCTGCTTTTCGGTTTTTTCTTTTTTCTCTACGTTTGGCATTACTTGCGTCATTCTTTAATTTGTCTACTTCAGATGTTAATTTAGTTAATTCGTCACATTTCATTTCATAATTGTCTTTAATTAATTTTAAATCAGTTTCCAAATCATAATTAATAATTTTTTCGTCTTGAATGCAGTCCTCGTAGTCGTCGCACTTTCTTGTCCAGTCCTCAATCTCCTTCTGCAACTTCTCATTCTCACTTACACACTTCTGTAACACTCGCTCACTATGCTCTCTCTCACTACGCTCGGATCTTGCACCTCTTTTCCACTGGAATTCACTCTGTAAATATCTCTCTCTCTCATCACCAGATTTTCTTTTAATTTTAGTTTTAAGTGATTTTAGTGCATACTGCATATGGCTTCTATTAAATGAAGACGGCAGATCAAAGAAAAAAGAAAGAAAGTCAAATACCCTCCCCGTTCTTGCCCCTAAATTAACCCGCCCATCACCCAACAAAAATCTATGAACGTCCCGAAGCACCCCATTTGTAACTAACGAAAAATGCAAACGAACAAACGGCCTAGGCCTAACAAAATTATCCCCCTCTAAATACATGAAAAATAACGATTTATCTAAAGGCAAATTGCTCAAGAAAGTAAAATTATTGTTAAAATCAGAATAGTCCATAATTTCAAAGTATAAAATAAACTAATAATGATCGTTTATATTATTAAAAAGTGTAAATTATCAACTTACGAAACACTGTGGATAGAATTTGAAACCAACCGCGTTCAGTGTAGAAACTTCGTTCAGTCAAGGTTCAGTGCAGCAATTTCGTCACGTAGCAGGAATCACAGACCAATCAGAAGACTGCATTTCGGTAAACAAAATCGCTCATCCGTGAAACCAACGGTTTCACATTCTGGAACTTGTTTTCTGAGTTCGCGAGCGACCAAATGACCCGAGGCCCTCGAAATGATAAATGTGCCTATGAAGCCATGACGTAATTTTTATGATTTTTTCAGTAATTGTTATTTATATATGTGTCTATTATCTATTCATTTTTTTTGTATCAACAAGGATTATAACTTGTTTTTTTGTCGACAGACGTGTTAAAATCCCGATTTTTGAGCACTTAAAATTTTCCGATTTTCAAAAAAAATAAACAGCAGATCGGGAACTATATTAGCTTTGGCGTAGTAAAGTTTTTTTAAACAGTGTTCGATGGCAAGATGGGCACATTTATTGTTGAAATAGGGGTGGTCAAGCCAAAAAACCACGACCACGGTTAAAAAATGAGTGAACTTTTAAGGTGGCTCCCAGAATCGATGTATTTGCAACAACGATGTCGGTATTCATAGTTCATCTTGTGTATTTTATTTCTAGACAGTTGTATTGAATAATAGCGTAGCTACACGGACATAGTAGGTTTTATTCATGTTATGAATTCGAAAGTAGAAATTTTAAGCATTTTTCGTGTGGGTATTTTCAAAAAAATTGAAATTTACGGTCGTGATTGTGCGCGTGTGTTACTCTGCGCGATACGCTCGAAACACGCGTAAAGTACGCCCGGGGTACGCACTACAAAAAAGGAACAAAAATTATCAAAGCTCTGGAATCCCTACTAATGTAGGCCTAGGGTAGAGGGTCCAACTTGCTGAGGGCCTAGGCCTAATCTAGTCCTATTAGAATATTAAAAATATGATAAATCAGACTTAGATTGACACAAATTTTCATTTAGCAAACAGTATAATTATATTTCATTAATCATTATACTAGGGAACAGAAACAACCATCATGTAAGTGCAGATAGAATAAATTATAGATTATCACTTTTTTTTTTAATGAGGGAGGGAGGTTTTTTTTTGTTTTTATTTTTTTAATTAAATTATATTTGTTTAAAATTAATATTTTATCATGTAAAATAATAGAAATAACACCAATTTAAATGAACTGTAACATTTATTTCTGTATAAAATGTATAAATTTTGTACTCAAAATCGATATTTTCACCTGATAAAAAAAGGGAAAAAATATTTTAACAAATATGAATGAATGAAAATGTAATATACATACAATTCTATGATTTCTCTGGTACAGGTCAACAAATGGGAATAAGTATTGATTAAAGAGTGCTGAAATTATTCAAATGTTTTCTCCATAAAAAATGTAGGCCACCATGCTAGCCTAGACTAGTTTCTAAATTTAAAAAAATCACAATGAAATTAATAACTAATTCTCAGTATCTTTTATTCAAATTTCAATTTTTACAGTAAAATTTAAAAAAAAATGGCAGCACAGGCTGAATTACAATTTGAATGTACAATAAAAATAGCAAAAAATACATTGAAGATTATATATTATACTATACTAATCGAAAAATGAGGAATTGATTGAAAGAGCTATTTACAAATTATGACCGTAACAATACAGTAAAGAGACAATAAAATTTACAAAAGATACACATACCAAAAAGGGTAAAAATTTAAAATTAAAAAATCCACAAGAGCCAATTTACCATAATTAATCAATATTAAACAAATTTTAATTAGTTCCTAGATAAAAAATTCCAAAGCCAGGGAAAAAACAAGTTGTCAAATTCCAAGAAACAGGTTAAAAAGATCAAATCCAAAAGGGGGGAAAGAAAAAAGGATACAAAAATTTACAATAAAATAAAAAAAAATGAAAAGGAACACCCGAGTTAATTATTTAGAAGACGGATTAAACATGGAATAGGGCTGTTGGAAAAATGGTTAGTTCTGCATTTATGTTCATGGTACTTTTGTTATTATGTATATCTGGTTGAGTATTTATGAGAAATTTTGGGAGGAAGAAAAAGATAAAGTTTTGACTCTAAATTAATCATACTGTTTGAAAAGGAGCTACGTAATGCATGTCGCCTGGTGCACAGTCTATCTAAACACAGCTCAGTAATACCCAGTTCGTAAGATTTATATGACCGGCCCAATATGATGTGACGTTTCTGAACCCTTTCAAAGTCTTTTTTAAGGATTCAGTTAGACCAGCGTTCCAAACAGGAACAGCGTACTCTAAGACTGACTGAACTGTGCCCAGATAGACTGTGACCAGATCGGCAGTAGGAAGCCTGTATCTTTTAAAGAACTTTATACAATTTGCAATTAGCTCTTTGGACAATATAAGAGATTTGGGTGTTTGAGAACCTGACACACTTCAAATACGATCAATAAGTAGTACTGTAGGTAAAGGAGGTGACTTAGCAAAGCATATACTGTACATCCATTACAAAGCATTTTTTTGCGAATAGGACCTCTCTAGCTAGCTTTTGGTAGGCTCGGCTTGCCTAGGCCTTACTACTAGGCCTAGTCTAGGCTATCTAGAAAGTAGGCTTATTTTTATTAAATAGGCCTATGACGCAGGCCTCCTAGCCTAGACCTATTTAATTATTTAGGCCTAGGCCTACTACTATAATAGTTAACTAGCCTAGGGCTAGGCCTAAGCCCTACAGAAAACAATAAAAAAAAATAAAAAATCTAAAAAAAGATCAATAGGCCTAGCTGACCTATCAAAAATATATTTGTGTACCTTGATTTGATTCTAGCCTAGGCTACGCCTATCGTTGGAAGGTAACATGCCAGCCGCGTTGACGAGCGACAACGAGAAACAAACCAAGAGCGCATCTGGTAATATATAACTTACCCCTCAATTTTTAAAATTTCCTGCCACCTTCTGCACATTCACCCTGTCCCACTGCCCACTAAGAAATTGGTAAAAAACCTCTTTTATATTTGAGTTTTCTGGCACTTTCTTTCCATACCAGCTTTACATTTGTTGAAACTATTTTTAAATACAAGATCGGCATTTTCACCAGCTAGCCCTAGTTTCCGTCTAGCAACCTGACGTGCGTTGTTGGTTGGCTGAAAGTATTTCAACTATTCGGCCGCCCAATGGTCAAAAAAAAAAAAAAATTTCTTTTACCGCGTCAAAATTTACCTAATTTTTGACACGGGCTGGAGTGATAATCTTATAAATTTTTCTATTTGCCCTAGTCAAAAATACTTGATCAATCATTGTTCAATTAGCACACACCAATTTGCCATAGTGCAGTCCCTATTTGCCCTACCCAATTAGTAGGGTGTCCGGTGAAAAATATAATGTTAATATATTTGAAACAAATTATATATTTACTGTTAGTATTTGACCTCATTATTACACAAAAGAAAAAATTTGAAATACCGACTTATATATTTTCTGAAATATTGGGTCTTAAACTTTGGGTAAAATCACCGTTTTTGGTCACAGTCAACATAAATAAATTGCACCCTCTCTTGGTGAATGTTGAAATGTCGTCATTTATCCTAATTAATAATGCAGTTAATTACGATAATAACGAGTTGTTGGACATATAAACGTTTATAATGTCCCTGAAATATGTTATTACACGTTTATAAAATGAAATTATGTGGTTAGTGAATGTATTACTGATGATTTTAGTATGCTTTTTTCCTTAGCTCCTAGACAGTGTATTTGAAAAACCAATGAATATTTCATCAATCTCATATTTTTTAGTATGAAATCAACATTCCCAACACTGATACTTTCAGCAACTCCAGCCTACTTCTTGCTGACAAAAACCATACAATTGACAAAAAAAAAAATTCAAAGCCATGTACTGTACAGAATATATTTTAAGTATTTTTATTATCATATATCCCTCTTCACATATCACAATTTGTATAGTAGAGTCATTACTAATTGTTAAATAATTATTTATCAATATGAAATAAACTTTAATGAGGCTAATAGCTGTTGTACTGAAAATCTGGATTTCTTGACGTATTTATGTCATATAAAAACATAAATTCTGCATCATCAAGAAAGCCATATAAATATGCATTTTCAAAATTTTCATAAGCGACACGTATTCGGCATTCTCAGTTCCTTAGATCGCGTACCTGGCTAGGCTAAAGAAAAAATTTGCAAGTCATTTGACGTTAACTTGACGGCGTTTGTGTACGAGCCACCGTCGTGCAGCAGGTAGAATGATCGAAACATGTTTTCACAACAGGATGGGAGGCGTTCGCGACGGTCAGGTAGCTCTCTGTACCTATTGCCCACCGTCGTGAATCGAAAGCTCACTAATATGTAAGTATACCAACCTCATTCTCAATTTGAAATATTTTATACATGAAATTAGTTAAAGAAAGAAACAGAAAGATAATAACATGCAAGTGTATAACCTCTATTTTCTATTTGAAATATTTTCTACATGGAATTTAAAGAAAGAAAACATTAGTGAAAATGTTGCATGTTGTATAAATATAGAAGGGGGTGGGGGGTTGGACTTCTCCAGTGAACAGGTTTCTGTTGATGATAGTCTGTAGAAAAGATTTAATGAAAATAATGAGAAAAAAAATTACTTTTCATATTTTTTA